GTGTGTGTGTGTGTGTGTTATTTTTGTTTCCTATTTTGGATTCCTAACAATGTTGGGGGGTTTTTATATGATAAAAAGAATTTATTACATGATTAAAGTTATAGCTTGAGGGGAGTGGGGAGCTTCTAAAAAATATTATATTACACTGGCTTAAGTGGTTTTATGGCAGACATGATGGAAATGTGTCCGATTGACTTACGAGTTTGAGAAACTCATCTTTCATCTCCAACATCCACGAGGTGCTTCCGGACTCGGTGAAGCCATGAGTGACAACACGGGTAGGAAGGGAAGGGTCGAACTCGCTGTCAGAAACACAGTCCTTGTCAGCCTTTTTGTGTGTGGGAGGAGGGGGGAGAGGATCGTTAAAGGGTTACGTTTTAGTAGAGGTTTTACGGCGCTCGCAACTGAAAAAGGTCATATGAGCACCAAGGGGTGCATATCAACAAAGAAGTCGTCCTTACAGGGAATCAGACTTACTCTGCTCACCTCTCTAGCTTCAACAGCACAAAGTCTGCTTCGACTATCAAGGCACCCCGGAAAAGCGGGTCACAAGAGTGTGACAAACGTACAAAAGAAGTAGACGGAAGTGACGATAGTAAAGATTAGGGGAAAAAAAGCAGCAGTTCCCTATTGTAGTTCAGGCACAGTTATGAGCATGACGTTGTTGGGTCAGCCCATTTACAATTCTACTGTGCATTAGAACGAGAAATGTCCCCCCTTTGGGAATGGCCTAAAGACACTTCAGTCAGTGGCACCGCCTCGGGGGGTGTATAGGGTTAAAGGGTGTTTTCAGCGAAGCTGGGAGGGAGAGGGTGCTGGAAATGGCTTCGTGGTATAAAGTACTGGCCGGCCTTTTGGGTGGGGCTGGGAGATGGTGAGGGGTAGGGGGGGGGGGATTTACATCGTTAGAGGGAGGATTGAGTACTGCTGAGAGGGAGTGGTTGAAAATAGCGACAGGATATAGAGTCCTTTCGATGTTGTGTGCGTAAAAAGGGTGGGGTGGAGGTGTTGGGAGGGAAAGTTATATTGTTAGAGGGTGCCTTCAGGAGTGTCTGGGGGTGGA